ACAATAACAAAGGCCTATATTGATGACCCAAAGCATTAAGAGGAATTATGGATCTTGTCAAGCTGATGGATCTTTTATGGATGAGTGAATACTTTGATGTTTTTAACATGACTGTGGTATGAAGCAGGGCGCAATTGCTAATGAGAGACGTTGTAGCAATGTTCAGGGAAGAAGGAGGCGGGAACCGGCAGACAATCAAATTAAAACTTTATTTAAATGAAATAAACACAATACCTGCCAGCAGTCCCTCACGGAACTGCTGGCTACCCAAAATAAAATATAACTACCTGCCAGCAGCCCCTCACAGACGACTGCTGGCTACCAAAATAAAATAAAATAAAACAAACAAAAGCAGGCCTGTTCCTCTCTCGATCATCCACTCCGTCGCTCCTCCTTTATGCTTCCGCTCCTCCGTGAGAGATGCGAGACCGGTGTGCTTCACAGGTGCTGCTCATTAGCAATCGCACCACCGGCCTCGCGACGTTCTCTCACGTCCCTCGGCCGTCCTGCTCACCACATACCCCCATCACCCCTCACAGGCCGGGGGGTACACCCGGGCTGTGCCTACTCCCTCCCCCCGGCGGCGATCCCTGGGGGATATGGACCGACGAGCCGAGGGAAACGGAGACGGAAGCACGAGGAGCGACGGACACGAGAGAGGGGAGAGAGGAAAAAAAAAAAAATTGGTCCGGCTCCCACAACGCGCTGCCATCTTGTCCCTCACCAGCTGGGCGATCTCCTCCGCGGTGCCCGGCGGCGACGCTGGATGGCCCTCGTTGGACGCCTCGACGCTGCCCCGCCCCCGGTGGACGGCGACGGCTCCTCGGGTGCCTTGGGCAGACGGCAGGAGTCCCCCGCTCCCTGCTCCTCCCCTTCACTGGCGGATGGCAGCAGGCTCCGGCCCACGGCAAGCGGCGGTGACTCCTCCTCTCCCTCCCGGAAGGCAGCCGCCCCTCCATTCCCAGGCGGTCGGCGGCGAGCTCGGGCGTCCCACCGGCAACTCACCCCAGCGCCCCGCCTCGAGCGTCCATGGCCGCGAGTCCCCCGCTCCCTGCTCCTCCCCTTGGCAGCAATCTCCGGCCCACGGCGAGCGGCGGCGACTCGCGCACCATGCTTGATGGCACCGCGGATTCACCACAACGGCGAGGACCCTCGGACAGCGCGTTCCTCCCTCTTCCCGGGTTTCGGCACCAGTGTAGCAATGTTCAGGGAAGAAGGAGGCGGGAACCGGCAGACAATCAAATTAAAACTTTATTTAAATGAAATAAACACAATACCTGCCAGCAGTCCCTCACGGAACTGCTGGCTACCCAAAATAAAATATAACTACCTGCCAGCAGCCCCTCACGGACGACTGCTGGCTACCAAAATAAAATAAAATAAAACACAAACAAAAGCAGGCCTGTTCCTCTCTCGATCATCCACTCCGTCGCTCCTCCTTTATGCTTCCGCTCCTCCGTGAGAGATGCAAGACCGGTGTGCTTCACAGGTGCTGCTCATTAGCAATCGCACCACCGGCCTCGCGACGTTCTCTCACGTCCCTCGGCCGTCCTGCTCACCACAGACGTATACCAGCGTCACACGCAACGCGAGTCCCGCGGATATAAAGGAATAAGTACATATACCGAACTACACGCACGTGCTGAATTACTCACACAGGTCAGTTTATTAGACTAATTAAACTTGAGGTAACGCAGGGCTGTTTCACTTGCTCTAACAGTTAAACTATCACACTAAACAGCATTTGAGTGTGTTGAATGTTGTTAGTTAGGTTGTTTGTTGGCTATGTATACGAGACTAACAGTAAGCTAGATCAACATTAGAATAACATACAGATCATATTCTAACATTTCATCTACATTTTCATCTGTTGAACTAAATAACATTGATTAGTTTTATGTACATTTGCTCACCTGTCTAATAAAGTACATACAACACTCGCGTCTCTGTCAAGTCGAAGTTAGTCGCGGACGTGGAGCTCTCGGAATCTCGAAAGATGTTGATCTTCGTTTTAGTCCTCTTTTTGTCTCAAAGTCTGCTTGCCATGGTCCATAATGTTTGAACAAAACAACAACAGCGTGAGCGTCCTGCTAAGCATAACCCAGTTGTCCACGTCTGTCGCCATGGCGTGTACGAGCTCGTACTATGGCAGTACGAGCGGAAACCGAGGGTAACGCGGATATGACGCCATTGACTGGCGCCTCCTCACCCCTGCTCACACGTCCCATTTCCTTGGTTAAAATCGCAATTTTCTCACGATTTACAAATAGTTGGAAACATTTGGGATATTGTAAGTAATCAACTAAACAAAATATATAACATTGGCCAAGTGGTTTTTGGATATTTTACTGCAAAAATCCTACATATTGTACCTTTAAGTGAACTTGCTGTACTAACGGGGGATTTAGTGGGGGATACCAAGCATGAACAAATATTGCTGTTTTATTATTTTTAACATGCATGTTTGCTGTGCTTCTAAACCATATTCTTCAGAATTATTTAAATCTGATTGAGTCTTTTGACTTTACTCAATGGGTTTCTTATCCAACACATATCTATGGCCATACCCTTGATTTGATTTTAACCCATGGATTCTCTATTTCAAACATTGAAATCAGTAGTGCATCTTTCTCTGACCACAGGCCTTTATCTTTACTGTTCCTTTCACTGTCCGAATCCACATAAATCCATCGCTGGAACGCTTAAAGGGATACTTCACCTCTGGAAATATGAATGTGTATTTAAAATGGGTCATTTATGTAGAAAAAATGTGAAATTATTTTTGAATTTGGAGCTTTCTAGACTGAGAAAAGCCAGAAAATGTATTCTTGGCTTATGTGGATGAAAGGCAACAACTCCCAGAATGCACTTGCTTCGCTGCCCTAGGAGGCCACGCCTACCGGTAACAGAGCGCAGTAGTTAAACAACAAGTCTAGGCTACTAGTGAGTCTCCGTGATGAGTCTGCCCGGGATGTCGAGATCGCCCAAAATGTCCGGGATTCGGCTTTTGCGTTCTACAGTCGACATTCATTATGTTTACTGTGGCGAGCAGGACGAGACTGAGGGCTGCGGGAGAACGGTGCGAGACCGGTGGCGTGATTACTGATGAGCGACACCTGTGAGACGCACTGGTCTCGTATCTCTCACGGAGGAGCGGAAATTTTCTTAGCAATGTTAAAACGCACATCAACCGATCACTTGTTTAGCGTTCATGTAAACACTACATTCAGATTCACTAATTGGAATGAATTCAGTTAGATTGAAACAAAAGGTGTGCATGTAAACAATGAATGGCGACTGCAGAAAGCAAAAGCTGAATCCAGGACATTTTGTACGATCTCGATGGCCGGACATGTCCAGGAAAAAGAGGATGGAAACCCCTACTACTCAGCTTTCTCCACAGAACAAGAGCCTGCTAGCTTAGCTTCCAAAAAAAGATGGCTGACACTATGTGTACATTCTGTGAGTGAGATCCCACCCTCTATGGGCGGGTGGAGAAGACTACTGGCTGTAGTCTTTAGCCTCTGGCCAAAAAATCCTCAGATGACGCAAAATGACGATTTTTGCGTCAGAGGATTTTTTCCAGACAAAAAATACATAAATCTCTCGTCTCAGGGGGATATGAGGGTGGGAAGCATGGTAATTTGAAAATACTACAGGTTTCCTACTAATACAAAGCTTAATGCTAAATCCTGAAGTATCCCTTTAACTCGCTCTCTTAATGTTCTAGGGAAGAATTTTCTGTAGCGTACTATGATGTACGTAACTCTCTGGAGTCGGACTCTACTCTGCATAATCTGGACACAAATGGAAAAAGGACAGATTGCAGATTTCTTTTGAAATTTTGTAACATTTTTTAACTCTTATAACATGTTTCAGAAAGCTGCAAAGGCCGCAAAATGCAAATATTTTTCTGAACTTATCACAAAAACAAATGTCATAAACCTCAAGTTCTTTTTTCTACTATTAACTTTGTTTTAAACCCTTCTGCATTCCATCTGAGAGCCCTCTACTTCGCTCTGTGACAACTTTTTCTACAGCTAGTGCAAAACGCAGCTGCTCCTGACTCCTCACTGGGACCCTCAAGTATGAGCTGGCAACTATTTTATCTGCACTGCACTGGCTACCTGTCAAATTTCGAATTGATTTTAAAATTCTACTATGTTAATAAAGCCCTCAACAATTTGGCTCCTTCTAGAGCTCTGAGATCCAGTGATCACCGTCTACTCACTGTGCCTAGATCTAGACTTAAAAAACTAAGAAATTGCACTTTTGCGATTGCAGGTCCACAACTGTGGAACAGTCTACCTCTCCACACCAGATTAGCGCCCTCTATTTCCACCTTCAAATCTTCAAGACTTATATGTTCTCTTTAGCTTTCAATACTCCTTGATCATAGGTTTGATTATTGTATTACTATTGTTGTGTATTCCTTAATTTTGATAGTTTTATTTTTCTATTTCTTAGTCTTATTATTTTCTGTACAGCACTTTGGTCAGCCTTGTTTTTTTTTTAAGTGCTTTATAAATAAATATTGTATTGTATTGTATTGTAAAGCATAGACAAGCAGATGAGCCCAGATTTTGAAAGCAACGAGCTATAGTTTCACGTTAACATTTACATTTAATCATTTAGCAGCAGACACTTTTATTTAAAGCAACTTACAAATGAGAACAATAGAAGTAACCAAAACAACAACAATAAAAAAGGGCAACAGTAGGTAAGTGCTGTGTCTAGTCCCAGTTAGTATAGCAAAGTGCAAGATTTTTTTAATAAATAGAAAACAATAGAATAGAATAAGTGCGTGCTAGTATTAATGGGTCATGTGTTGACGAAAAATGTGTCCCCAGTCCTTGATTAAATAATGTCTTGCGCCAATGTTGACTTTTCAGGGTATTTTTGTTTAACAATTCAGAGTTTGAGGTTGTGTTTTCTGTAGTCATATCTAAAGAGTTTGTTCTATTCGAATTTTAAATAATTCCTTCTGATTTCATCCACAGCTGGAGAACTACATCCAGGAGAACCTCAAACAAGACATGGCCCAAATTCAGAATAACGCGGTGCAAAACCACACAGTGACCATGATCAAGATTGGGACCAGCCTCCTGAGTCAAACAGCAGAGCAAACACGGAAAATCACTACTGTTGAAGCACAGGTAAAGGGTTGAAACTTTATGTAAAGCAGGCTAGGTTTAGTGGGTTAAGTTTCAAAACCTAACAGGCTCAACGCTAAGGTTTTTTTCTACTGGCCCCGTTTGGCCAGTGGTTTACATTTTTACTTGCCCTACCAATTTTTTTTACTGGCTCTGTTTTGGTTGTATTTGACCCATGTTACTATACAATAAAAAAGGTTGTTGCAACACCAAAAATTTAAATACTAGCAACATTTCTAATCCTTGATGACTAAGCTTAAAAACGAATAAATTAATGGTACGTCCAGCTTCAGCTAAATGGGAAAACACCACACAGACAGGCGTCAGATGTTGATCCCAGGTTGTGTTGTAGACAATTACATCATCTAAATAAAAAGCGTAGCCTGTAAGTCAAGACATGGTTCATCAATCTTTGAAAGTTAAAGTGTGCATTTCTTAATCAAATCTTAAACTAGCTTGCATTACCTCTCTAACTGCCAAAAGAAGTCAAGGTACTCCCTTCTCCAGTTGCAGTAAACGTGGAACAGATAAGCGCTTGATTTTTGGTGTTGTACCCATACCTGCTCCACTATCTTGGCAAACATATTTGATGTAAAATCTGTCCCCAGGTCCCTCTGAATAACTTTCAGAATACAGAATATGGTGAAAAATATATAACAGCATTGATTCATATGGATTTTAGTTTTAGCAACAAAGTGTATGGACTGTCAATGGAGGGACAGAAAGATTTATTTTAAAATATTTTCATTTGTGTTTTAAAGATAAACAAAAGTCTTATGAGTTTGGAAAGACATGAGTGCGAGTAATTTATAATCCCCTAAATATCTGCAGGTAAATACAGCTGTACCCCCCAGTGAGCCGAGAAGATAACTTCTCTCATCTCATAGCAAAATGATCTCTAGACATGTGCTTCTTTTAAAGTCCCCCTGTAGTAAATCATTTTATCCCTTAAAACTTATCTTTGATCACCAAAATGACATATTTAAATGTTTTTTTACTGTGGAAAAAAAATTCTTCATGCCTTAAAATAGCTTGAATGCAACTCTACACCCTTGCTTCATTTAGTATACACGGATCCATTAATTAGTTCATCATAACATCGTAATAGTCAATACATCATGTCAAATAAATCTAGCCGATTTTTCAAATCAACAAAAAAATATACCAGGATAACCTGGCATTTCTTGAGACCCCTGCTAGTTCGCTGTAAATGATATGCCAAAGCCTGCCGGCACGTTGTCGTGATTGGTTACAAGGTAGTTTCTGAGGTCAAAAACACCAGCGATTTCAAACCGCGTTTTTGAGACAGACTTTTTTTCACTGCAGTTTTAAGGAGAAAATACTCAGCAATGGTGTTGACTTATGAATTTACACATGGTTTGTCTTAAAGCATATTAAAAACACCACATTAGACATAAACAATATTAAAAGCTTGATTTTCATCACAGGGGAACATTTGCAGAGGAAAGCAATGTTATTCTCTCAAAAATATCGTCGAGAACCACTAAATTATTAAGGTGGTGGTTTTATAGTTAGAAGTCAGAATTCAACGTAAATGTTAAAGCCAAGATATTTGTATGGGTGCTTTAAGAATACTTCATTTAATGAAACATGGAAGACCACAACAGCTGAAAAAACTAGAAAACACCTTCAGTGGAGGGAATTTGATTCACTGACAGAAAGTGAATATGGAAATACTCATGGTTTGCAGAGTCTTCTCCAAGATGCTTTCTGTTGGAAACACAAAGTCTATTTTCATCTTTAGGTAATTAACCAAACAACTCGACTTGAACGTCAGCTTCTTGAGAACTCCATTTCAACCAGCAAACTGGAAAATGAAATTCTGCAACAGATAAATGAAATCCAAAAGCTGAATAACAAGAACAGGTAATATTATTAATATAATATTAATTGAGCTGTTTAGAAAAACACCACACTTTGTCTCTCCAAATTCTGGAGGAAGATCTATTCAAGTCACAAACATTTTTATAGAAATTTAAATTCACATTGCTACTGACTCCATTCATAGAGTTGAAAAACCACTGTCTGGAGGAAAACAGTGTTTTTCAAAGCTTGTTCTCTTGTTTCCTCTTAGTTTTCTGGAAAAACGAGTGGAGGACATGGAAGGCAAGAGAAATACAGAGCTAGAAAACTTGGAAGCGGAGAAGGAACAGCTCAAGAAGCTGGTGGAGAAGCAGACTAGCATCATAAAAGAGATGGAGCAACAACTGCTCCGCACCTCCTCCGATAACTCCGTCATGAAGCAGCAGCAGCAGGAGCTGACAAATACAGTCAACAACCTAATTCACACCATCTCTGTGGGTAAGCAAGGTGGGGTTTGCATCAGTATTTCAACCGTTATCACACATGGGACCTGGGGCAAAATAAACTCCAAAAACAATATTGTGCCAGACAGTTCACCTATAATATTATGCAGCTGTTCAAATGTTTGGGGAAAAGGCTAGACCGCTATTAGACAGAGACAGATTACAGAGAAAGATAATCATCAGAGTACGTTAAACACAATATACTTTGTCACGGTTCAACGGTTTCAGTTAAAGACCTTTAAGGTCTTTCATCATGAAATTCTCAAAACTTCTTAATTACTTGACAGTAACTTTGTAAAATGAATACAAAACTTTATCAGTAAGGATGGGCAGTGTGACCAAAATCCCAAAATGGTACAAACAACTTCATATCATGGAATTAATAAATATTACAACAATACAACTTTTCCCCAACTAAAAACAGTTTACAAATTATAAATAATGTAGTAATTGCAATTTTTGGCACACTGTAAAACTGAAGAGTGAAATTAAATGAAATGAGTTCATCTCGCTCAAATATTACTGAAAGTTCACTGTACTGAACGGGAAAAAAAATATGTGAACAATAACTGATTAAGCTGAATGAGTTGCAGCAAATTTCTAGTTCCCAGCATGCTTTGCATCAGACTGTATAAAAGGAAAATAAATGATGAAATGAAGTCTTTTTTGGGTGTTTTGCATAAGAACAATAGAGGGAGAGATGTGTTAGTGTTTACTGTTCTGTTATGTTGTAGTTCTGCAGAAGTTACCATTGTGGTCAAGAGTAGAGCCTGTGGTTAGGTTGAGAATTGGCTACAAAATCTTAAGACTTTATATGCTGCATGTTGATTATCTGTGTACATGCAATAGTACAACAGTGGCCAAAAGTATTGGCAGTGACAAATTTTGTGTTTTGCAATGTTTGGTGCTTCACTATTTTCTGGCCAGCCACCACCAAACATGAGCAGGCCCTTCACGTTATGGAGATGAAGATGCTCCGCTGGTCCCTCTGGCTCACGCGGCTTGACCGCATCATGAACGAAGATGACTGAAGGGGCATGAGCCCATAGGAGGACATGCGCGCAGTCAATATCGCCCCTGATGATGCCCTGGATCGAGCCAAGTGGCAAAAGGCATGCGAACAAGCGGACCCTGTGCCAACGCGGGACACGCTAGAACGAAGAAGCTGCTTCTGTATTTGCAGATTATTTTTTTTCACATGTTCCTATGGTACACTGAAAAACAATAAGCATTTCATATGTTTTAAAGACTTTCATTGTAAATATTGACTCATTGCACATATCGAATGGTTTTGCCTGTGTTGCTGGATATCAGCTTCTGGGAAAAATCCTAACAGATGGCGAGCCATTCTTGCTTTATAAGTGCTCAGAGTTGATCACAATTTGTGGACTTTTACATGTCCACTTGCCTTTTGAGGATTGACCATAGGTTCTCTTTGGGATTAAGATCCAGGGAGTTTCCTGGCCACGGATCCAAAATTTCCATGTATTAATCTTCATTCCGTGTATTGATCAGCCACTTCATTATCACTCTTTCCTTGTGACATGGAGTGCTCCATCACGCTGGAAAATGCACAGATCATCGCCAAATTGCTCCTAGATCATTGGGAGTAGTTGCTCTTACATTATTCATGGCAGTGACTCGGCACGACACAGGACTAATGGTAGCGTCTTGTGCGGTCCAATCCTTGTACTTCCTTCAGAATTTCAGTCAGTTTTCTATGTTTTTCCTGGAGAGAAGTAGCTACTTTTTTCTTTTCCAGGCCGTTGTCCTGAAGTCTTCACCTTACTGTGCGTGCAGATGCACTCACACCCACCTGCTGCCAAGATTGAGCAAGCACTGCACTGGGGGTGACATGATTCCGTAGCTGACTCCTCAGCAGCAAACTTTGTGAGCACAAAATGTATGTCACTGCCAATACTTGTGGCCACAGCTGTATAGTTCTTTGCTAGTTACATTAGCACATGCTATTGTGTGCTATTGCTAACATAGCTAGCAGTTAACCATCAAATATTTGAGTTAATATAATATTGCTGCAATCAATTGTAGTCAATACTTCATTATAATTGCAATTAACATGTTAGTAAAAAAAGCTAAATTTAAAGTTCTATTAACTTAATCTTTGAGTTTAACTTAAAAATTTGATGAAACCGATTACCGCAATTATTTTTTAGTTCTGGCAATTTAGAACTTTTTCTAAAAATGTAGTTTTTCCCTCTTTTCCACCCCGCTTTTAAATCACTTATGAATAGTGGTGTGACGATAGGGCTGTGCCGGTAAACTTGACAACCACATCACCGCGGTGGTCCGCCAAAACACTTTATTTTTTGTACGTGAATGCTATTTTACGTGAATATTATGACACGGGTGAAGCACAAAGCTTTGTTTACAAAATAAATAATAGGTTAGACATTAAATGTTACATTCCAGCCATGGAATCATTTGGATTGGGCGAGATTAAGAGAGGTATGTCACGTGAGCCCATACATTTAAGCTTTGTACTATGTTTTGCGAATTTAACAATATTCCATTGGACATGGAATATCTTGTTTCTTTTCCCAAATCTGTGTTTGTGTGAGTGAGTGCGTTTGTGTGTGTGTGAGTAAGTGAGTGAGCGAAAGTGAGTGTGTGTGTGTGTGAGCGAGTGAGTTTCAGTGTGTGCGTGAATGAGTGCGTGTGTATGTATGTGTGCGAGTGAACGTGTGCGTGTGAGACGGAACGCGATGACTGGTCGGGAAGCAACGTGTAGTCTGACATGTTTCTTGTCCATGACACGACAAGATTTTAGGAGTCAAAATCGCGTAATCTGACACAGTGACTATCGTAACAGACAAAACAATCATGTAATCTGAACCAGGATTTAGTTTCGCTTTCTCTGGCAACACAAAATCAAACAGCCTAAATGTCTTGACACTGCGGAAAATAAAATTCACTCTTCAGACCTTTTACAACAAGTGTCAGTTGCTTGGAACATCAGGAGAAAACATGAAGATATTAGAAAAGAGATGGTCTCTTTCCTGCTCGTGTCCCACATCCCTCTCAAAGCGCAAAGTGGTAGGCTATATGGCGCATCTTTGTCTGGAAATATACAGCGAATGTTTTTACCAATATTTACAGATATTTATTTCAATGTTCAATTATTACAGGCTGTAGTGTGGTGTTTCACTGACAGAAGTGCTAAAATAAACACAATACACAAATAACACAAAAAATATGGAGGTTTAAGGTTTGATGCACGCATGAGCAACAGAGGAGGAAAAATAGGTATTTCTGCCCCATTTTCAGGGTGGCCAAGTGTTTGCTCCAGGTGAAGGAGATGCTTGACAAGACTTATATGCAAGCTTGGTAAATATGCAAGTTTGGTAAAGTGAAGGCGCAGTATTTTGGAAACACTACAAACATGAGGCTTTTGGTAATTGATCCACACAATTGAGCCTAGGTGTAGCATACATCCCAATGGCTTTTTACTCTGAAAACAGTACCTTGGCGTACTAAGAGACAGAGATAAAGGTGGAGGAAGCCTTTAAGACAGCAACAAGAGTTGCACTAATGTGTGATGCTAGGACATCAAAGACAACTCAGTCATGTGTCCTGTCTGTATGGGGAGGTTTGGAAAAACACTTAATTTGGTAGACAGACTCCTCAAGCAAAAACTTGCCATTTGTACTTGCTTTTGGGGGAACTAAATTAGCCCCTAATTCAGAGTAGGGTCTAAGCCAGCACAATAGGAACTACCAGGGATTTTAGTGTACGTTGATTGGTCGAACGAGGGCCATAAGAAACAGCACCCACAATTTTTTTAAATCCTACAGAAACATTCAGAAAGCTAATGTTAACGGCATTTACCAGACGCCTTTTTTTCTGTGGCGTTGTTCTTTTCTCAGCCTCTATGATATGTAGCCCCACAAGTTGTCACAAGAGATTTAATCTCAAAGCCCTTTCAATCATAAAACTTGTGTCTACATTCCATCTCCGTCATCACGAATCCCACGAACCAACAAAAACACAGCTCTGATCACAGCATCCACCATTCAGTTGACTGTTGAATGTCAGCAGGCTTACGTCACTTCAGAGTACCTACTGGCGGTGTAAATGCAACCAGGAAAACATTTAGTTCTCGGGGAACCGCCCTGGTGGCTAGTTCCTAAAACAATTTTTCCTATAACTGTCCGGTGCAAAAGCCCCTTTAGTAATTGCACAGCGGAGCATGCTCACTGTCGAGCGTGTAGACCAGTAGAGGGTTGCACCAGCCATTCGTAATTTCTTACTTAAATTGGAATTTAAAGTCCACATTAGAGGCTTAGAGACTACTAGCTAGTTTGTAACTAACTCTATTTTATGTGGTGGCACCATTTTTAAAAAAATGAATGAGGATCAATAAATAAATACGGATGCAAAAAAAATAAAAAATGAATGCAAAGGAAAAAAAAAGTCTGCACACCTTGGTTCGAGTCTATTAAATTTTTCACATTTTTGGAGCCAATGTGTGCCGACTTTTTGTCCTTTTTTATATATAATTTTTTTGTTGAGCACCCAACTTGAGCAACATAGTGTTTTGCTGTGGATGTGCGTATTTTTGGAACTGATAAAAAAAAAAAAGAATGACACATTACAAAATGACATCACTCCTGATCTGAGGGTTCCGTAAAATTTTAGTTTATACATAGTTATGCGTCAACTAAGTTTAATGGTCCAACGCAAAAATATTTAGTAGTGCGTAAGTTGTAAACTTAGTGCCCATTTATGTCATAAACTAGGCTAAGTTATAACTTGCAACCGGCCCCAGCTTCTGTTTCTACATCAGAACCTAGACATTCCAGTCAGTGGTGGACAGCAAAGTAAACTCCAGTTCACATTTCAAAGTCAACATGCACTTTACAGCGAAATGTAGCAGTTCTTGTTTGTTCTAATAACATTTTGTATTTACAGTAAATCTAGCAGTTCTTGTTAGATTTAATTTTTTTATGTATTTGAATATGCTGAAAAGATATGCAAAAATAATTTACCACTTTATTGATTCATTTCATTATATTTATTATTATATTATTTTTGTATTAAGGAAAATTATATTTCTAGTAAGTTGATTTTCTATTTGTCTCAGGGCTACCTTGCTTTATTACAAAATATTGCCAGTCAAGTCTTTAATGATTGCATTCAGCTTAAATGGCATTTGTTTTTAGAATATTGAGTTGACTAACCTGGGAAGAAAAAAAAAATCAAAGTTTACATTTGATTCAGTGGGATTTTTTTCTTCTTCATGACATTGAACTGTCTGCCGCAGTTAAATAGGAAAAGTAACAAAACTACAATCAAATACAACAATCAAAAAGTAACAGCAAACTAAAATCAAATAGATTTTTAGTTGAACCGTGACCCCAAGAATCAATTTAAATCAAATCGAGAGGTTCTAAACTATTCGCACCCCTATTAGAGCGCATACTTTCCACTTTGGTTTAACAAAACATTTCTTTTATCAGGTAGCAATCCTGCAATGATGCAGGATGATCCAGATCAGTACAATGACTGTGCTGCAGTCTTCAAGTCAGGGAACAAGGAAAGCGGGGTCTACTCATTGACCATACCTGATACAAAACAGCAGTTCAAGGTAACGTTGATCAACTTAATAGTCAAAAGTAGTAAAATACCAGCAAAATACTTAAATATATAACAGTGCATTGGTATTCAAAGCAGTACTAGCAAACATTAGAAAATTAAAATGTTCTCATTTAAACCCCCGTGTGTTGTTCTGACCATGTACTACATTCTTTTTTTTATCCACGAAATACTAAAGGCTGAATGTCAAAGTCACTATTTTCCATAGACCAAAAGTGTATAGTAATTTGATTGCTCACGAACACTTGAAGTCATGTCCTGATCTTATTTCCTCACTCTAACCCTTATTTTTCTGCCTACACTGTACTTTTAAAGACAAAAAAGCCACATTATCAATTGTGTTTAATTAAAAAATGAAGCCTTTAGATATTACCGATGCCAAAAGCCATTGTTTCTCGGTCATATGTCTGATCACAACAAAGCTTTGAAAACACAAATACAAAAGTGAATATTCATGATCTTTTTTTCAAAACTGAACTGACAAAATGCATAATTTTTCTGTTATCACTGTGAAGCTGCTTTGAAACAATCTGTATTGTATAAAGCACTATTAAAATAAAGGTGACTTGACTTTAATACTTAGCTATCATCTAAAGTAAGGAGACCTAAATACACTCAAATACTTCAATTGTGCAGTCTTCGAGCTTGTAAGTAAAAAAAAAAAAAAAAAAAAAAATTCTCTTGTGTGAAATAGAAAAGTATGGACATTCTGCCTAATAACCTTTGTGTTTTAAGAATATAATTAAAATATGTGGTTTGAATGACGCAAGGGTGACTAAACAAGTTAATTATTCTTTTAAGAGCAACCCTTTTGCTTCTAAACACGCTTCCCCACTGAGAGACATTTTCTAAGAAACCTTTTTTTAGAAGTATGAAATGAAAGACTGCCAATTTAACATTATTTTTAGACTTTCTTAGCATTCTGAGAAAGTTGCCAAAAAAGTTATTTGTTTATTTTATCCTGGAAGATAGGCATGACATGTGATTCAAGTTTATACAGAACGGACATGAATGATGAAATTTAGCTTTTTAGTTAAAGGAACACTCCGACTTTTTGAAACTTTAGCCTATTCACCTTATCCCCCAGAGTTAGATAAGTCCATACATACCTTTTTCATCTCCGTGCGTGCTATAACTCTATCTGACGCACCCACCGCTAGCCTAGCTTAGCACAAAGACTGGATGTAAATGGTTGCAGCTAGCATACTAATCCAAATAAGTGACAAAATAGCGCAAACATTTTCCTATTTACATGTTGTGATTTGTATAGTCACAGAGTGTACAAAAAACAAAGTCACATGAGACACAGACATATTTTAACCGTATAAATACTGGGAACTATATTCTCTGAAGGCGAAGCACTGCTACTTGGGCGGAGTGATAACCGCAGCACCTGAGACGCGCTCTCTGCTCCTCACCACGGCTCGTCTCAGGTGCTGCGGTTATCACTCCGCCCAAGTAGCAGTGCTTCGCCTTCAGAGAATATAGTCGCCTTTAGAGAATATAGTTCCCAGTATTTATACGGTTAAAATATGTCTGTGTCTCATGTGACTGTTTTTTGTACACTCTGTGACTATACAAATCACAACATGTAAATAGAAAAATGTTTGCGTTATTTTGTCACTTATTTGGATTAGTATGCTAGCTGCAACCATTTACATCCAGTCTTTGTGCTAAGCTAGGCTAGTGGTGGGTGCATCAAACAGACTTATAGCACGCACGGAGATGAAAAAGGTATGTATGGACTTTTCTAACTCTGGGGCATAAGGTGAATAGGCTAAAGTCCCAAAAAGTCGGAGTGTTCCTTTAAATTTAGTTGTTTTTTTTGTTTCCAGGCCTACTGCGACATGGAAATAGATGGAGGTGGATGGACAGTAATACAGAAGCGCTTCAATGGCCTTGTTGATTTTCATCAAACATGGAAAAATTACACAATGGTAAGGATTTAATTGCGCTTGCATCTTTCTTTGAACATTTCTGACAATTTTACACAGATATGAAACATGGATTTTCTGTATTTCCAATTCAGGGGTTTGGAGACATCTCAGGTGAACACTGGTTGGGGAATGAAATCATCTCCAAGTTGACACAAGAAAAACAACATGTCCTCAGGATAGATCTGACAGACTGGGAGGGGAACACAGCCTTTTCAAAATATGAACAGTTCTCACTTGATGGAGAGAAGCAGAATTACAGGTGAAGAACTACCCCGTGCCTTCATATACCTCAGAGTTTTGTGACTCCTTGGGTGTTGTTTATAGTATATGCTGTGTGATGGTAGAATTTTGCAATATCCAAGCATGTGATTAGCTAAAGACAAAAAAAGAAGGAAAATTTATGGAAAGGAAATCTTTCAAATTAATTTTGAAAGATGGTTGGTGCCTGTTGCATTCCTAAATGCAAATTATAAGCGATTTACAGCTTATAATTTTATAAACAGCTTATAAACACACAGCACTTACAGAGTAGCGTTTACTGTGAATCAAAACTGAAAATGAACGAATTATCCACTGAACGAATGCTAATGAAACAAGCAGTGCGACTATTTATATAATTACAACCGCAATTTGATGATCGCACCAACGTTCCCTCTAAGCTGTGCGCGTGCGCAGTCGCACACTTCTGATGCCGCGGCCGCGCATCTTGGTAAAGACTGGTACAGTCAGGGCCGGATTAAGAGTTCAGAGGCCCCTGGGCACAATGTCTTGTAGGCCCCCCCTTAGGCAGGCCAAATGTATATTTTGTCCAAGGACATTTTTATATGGCATTTACAGTTTTACTGACTTAAAAGGAACTTTGTTGTACTATGCTGGAGTAAAGTTCATAAATGGTCGTTCTTTCCCATATGAATTTGTAAAGCTATGTTGGGTGGACCTCTGTGCCTCTAGGGGGGTTCGGGGGCATGCTCCCCCGCAAGAAAATTTTGTACATTTTAAGGTTAAATGCATCAATCTCGTGCTCTTTGAGAGATCAAAATTAAGAGCTTCAACCCATGAACTGCTCGTTGAACAAAGAAAAAGCATTGATTTGTACCAGGAAAATAAAGAGGGCTCAAACATATTTTTAGTTATGAGAGTCTCAGTCTACATTACATTATCAATGGTGTTTTAGGATGCCAAACAATTATTATAATAATCTAATAATGATTTATATAATTATTCCTATGACGTAAAATCCATAGCCTATAAATGTACTATATAAATGAAAATGAATATTTTAAAAGTATATTTTAGTCTACATTACACTATAATACAGAAAAATTAAAATACTTTTGTCCTAATTTCTTCACTTGCAAGAAATAAACCCTTGAGCTTTTATTTAGGAGAAAACACCGGATAACCATGCTAATCGCGTGAGCAAAGTGCACTTTTCTTTAAATCACCCAGCACAAACAGGATGCCTATTCTTAAAGTCTTGTGCTTTTTTATAAAGGCACAAAGCCATCATGGTTTCGATTTTAGTTTGTTGGCAAAATATAACGCTAGAGACCTTTATGTTAGGTAAGGTTATACATTTTACATCTCATATGTGTTGGGAAAAGGGAGAAGAGAGAGTTCGGCAAAAGGCGGATTCGAACTCGGGTCGAGCGCATCAAAAGCTGCTTTCAAGCACTTCACGCGCTACGACCTACGCCACTGTAGCTATTCCGTGACGCGCGTCTTTTTGCTAAAAAGACAGGCACTTAGTGCAAATATACGCTCCGTTATCTAAAATATTTTTTTTTCTTCCCCTCGCTTGGGCCACAAGTGCGCATGGCGAACTTGCAATGAATACATTTTATCAGACCGGCCCTCGCGGCCTCGAAACAATACCGGCCCACCGGGGAAACTCCCGACTCTCCCGATTGCCACTCCGCCCCTGGTGCCCAGGGCCCCTTAGATGTCGTGGGCCCCTGGGCAAGTGCCCAGTTGCCCTAATGGTTAATCCGGCCCTGGGTACAGTAAACAGCACTGTAAAACAAAAAATTCTCAGGTAACCTAAAATGTGCTTCATTTAGTGACTTCTTAATTAACTGCTTGTTTTCAAAAATATGATTTAATACCAATATAAGTTACATCAAGGTTCAATTAAAATAGAAATGGCGCATTCAAGTTTCTATGTATGCTGTACAGGTCAGGTATAAAGAATGTTTTTGCTCAGGTGGCGAAAAATGTCCACCCAATAGAGAAAAGTTTTGCCCAGCAAGAAAATTTTAAATTCAAATTCAAAATTTTAAGGGAACATTGGATCGCACTAAGCCATATCCCATTCTCACAACCATGCATTGTCAAAATTTATAAAAAGTTACCAGGCAACTGGCGGATAACAGTTTCAATGTAGATTTTCTCGCAATAAGTTATTTGAACTCTGGCCCGCAGATGGCGCCGCGAGCTCGTGCAGTGCTGTCAGGAGCAATCCGTGACATGTTATATGTATTAGAAAATATAACATTTTGCAGTCTATTTAGTATTTGTTTAAAGCAATTCCGCGATTTCAATCATACAGTAACCAGTAAAAAAAAAAAAAAACTCGGATTTATGCAATTCACGTCGGTCATACTATTCAGGTCGGAAAATACAGAAAGCAGTATAAATATGAGAAAAATCACATCCATGTATATTGTTTATACAGTGAATATCTGCATCAGTACGCAGGACTGCTTTGTGCTATGTGAGAGCAAAGAAACTTGGAGGAAGAACTTGGTACTAAAGGCCCTTGCACACTGAGTCCGAAATTCGCGTCCAAAATATTCGGACGTTAAAAAATAAATACGACCTCACATTAAGTCAATCACGCTTGCACACTGCCTCCGAAACTTTCGGCCGGCATAAAAAAAAATCGGATCGGGTTTGATTTTCTGCGTTTTCCGCATCCGTAGCAAGCAGTTTGAATGGTGTTTAAATGGTGTTTTGACAATTCAGAGCCACCGAATCACGAATGCGAAAAAACGCATACGAAAATTTCGGACTCAGTGTGCAAGGGCCTTAAGAGTTGTAGTTAAGCACATTGTGAAGCAGAGTTTAGTTCTTTACCAACATCAAGCAACATCACAAATAACCACATTATTATTCATAATCACAGAATTGATGTGCTGTCATATTTGTGTATATATCAGCTATTTTAGAATATCTACATTTAATTAATCTTCTTTAATCTTTTTGGTTTGTGACCATAAGTCTGACACCAGTATGCTCTCATGTTTGAAGTAAAACACCAGGAAGCTACGAGTTAGCTGTTGATTTGGTACACACCCATATTAACACTGCTGTTCATTCTGCTATAAAAACTCTGGAGGGCTGGCACACTATTGTCACAACTCCAAAGAAAATATTTTGAAATCTGGAAATATTGATGGTCTATGTAATGTGAAAACATGACAACACAGTTCCCTGAACAACTTTTGGCATCTGACCCCCCAACAAGCTAGTGGGTAATTACCCTGATTAATTTTGTAATATCATCAAAAAGATGAACAGGATATACAGAAAGGCTCTGGACTGAAACCTAGTGAGCCGTCTACTGCCTCCATAGGTACAGTAGCTGCCTTGTAAAGGCCTCAATATACTTCAAGTGAAATCAAAGAACGAACTGATGTGACGCATTTCGAACAAAATCAGGTCAAAACTAACTTCGTTTGGAGTTCGAAACGGTTTGCCAAAGCAAACTTTTTTGGAAACTTTTCCGGCTGGTAGACATCTTTGTACTACCATTGGTCCGTGGCTATCATAGCCACGGACCAATGGTAGTACAAAGGTGTCTACCAGCCGGAAAAGTTTCCAAAAAAGGTAGGTGTGCGTGGAGGCTCCGCCGCCTTTCACGTCGAAATCTTTTCTGGTTAATTTATTATATAGTCCATAGATGTCAGACGTCCGTGAGTGAATACATGAACACGCTGGAGAGATGCTTCATAATAGAAAATGAAGTTGTACTTCTAAAGAAACAAGACACTGTTTAATACGGTATACCTGCTTGATTTTAAGCAATCTATTGTGCAAAGTGCTATATAAATATACGTGACTAGAGTGCCGAATTGCAGAGCTCGGGCAAGCATATCCACGTTGCTATGATCAGATGCTTTTTTTAATGCTTTATAAAAAAGTTCTTGCCGTTTTCTCAATTTTGTTGTGCGTTTATTTTGTTATTGAGAGGAAAGTGCGCAGGACATATTCATCTAAACGTCACTCTCAGCAGTGTGGGTGGTGTCAGATGTTCGATAACAGTATATCGCTGTAAGTATATCGGGGCCTTAAAGCAGTAACTGTCAAGAAAACTGATGAACAATTAGTGCTCCTGGTGTGAAGCTAAGCTAATGTGATATGCTAATAAAAACTTGCCATAACCACAAACACATCACATAAAAATGTGTATTTTAAGTAGATTGAAATGTTTTTATCAATACATTTTGGTAATGAATGTATTATTTAGAACCATTTCTCTCGCTTAAGCCATACTGGTTTTTCCCCTCTTTAATTATCAAGGATGCATTTAATAGATCAAGTGACAGTGAAGACATAAATTAACAAAATATTTCTATTTAATAAATGCTTTGATAAATTTAATATATACATTTAATAAATGCTGTTCACTGATTCTATTCATCAAAGAATCCTGAAAAAAGTATCAGCACAATTGTAATGAACAATGTGGAGGCGATGTGTAATGCACAGCTAGCCGTGAATTATCCTGCTTATACCATGTTTACATGCCAGCAATGAGAAGTTTAATTAAAAAACAAATATAAAATAGTGACAACTACAGGGAAAATGAGAGTACTCGCAAATACTGAGAATGGTAGAATAAAATTATGAACAGTACACATTTTAGCAGTTGTTGTATTTTGTCCATCTCTTATTGATAACAGAATTTAATTACCAGACTAACTCGCATTTATAATATTATTTATATTTCTGATTTTCCAATTCTATAGGATACACCTCAACAGCTACAGTGGAACAGCAGGTAAAACCAGTAGCATGGGACAGCCAGGAAGTGATTTCAGCACAAAAGATGTAGACAACGACAAATGTATTTGCAAATGCTCACAAATGCTCTCAGGAGGTAACTTTCAAATACAATTTTACAGCATGCATCTTAATTGTCTTATTCTAATGGATTTAGAGTGCTCATTTGCCACAGTTCCCTTTTTTAAGTCTGTTACTTGGCACCAGGGGTGTAAAAATACTTGATATACTTGATATAGTATACTTGAGTAAAAGTAAAAAAAAGTACAACTTTAAATTGTACTTAAAGATTAAAAAAGTAAAAGTACCATAGCAAAAACGAAAAACGAGAGAGGAGATACTCGTTTAATCATTTTGAATCATCTTTTCAATGCAAAGTGAATTTACTGCATAAAATGGTTTGTTAGACATACATACACAGAAAGATTTAGTTTAAAATATAAAACAAAAGAATGACGCAGAGGTAAAAAAACATCTCTCTAGTCAGTGCATGCAACAACAATGAAAAAGCACATTCAGATGTGATGCAGAGGCCAGAATCGTATTCCAGACAGAATTCAATATGGGGTTAGAATTGTTGCATTATTCCAAATAAATAGGCTGAGATCCACAAATAAATATTTTCACAAAATTAATACAATTTAAATAAATAATAAAAAAAATAAAAAAATAATAATAATTTACAAATGTGTTGTGTCACAAACACAACTGCCTGACATTCATTTGTGAATCGTTTCCTGTGCATTAGTAGATCCCCGCACGCATTTGTGGATTTTGAAACATTTTCTAGCATCAAGACGTGCAGACACTCCACCCACTGTCTACTTAAGCCAATCAAATAATAGCCATTTGAGTTGAGTTGACCAATCATAGCATGCTCTCGCTTCAACCAATCACTTTTTTATAAAAGGCAAAGTCAGCCGTTGTGCCATGTCATACATCGTGTCTACCCCGTGTGAGGCGGTCTACACTAGACGCGTCAAAGTGAACGTGAGAATCATTTGTCCTTCATGTAAATTAGCGCAAGTGCATGTAGTACTTATGAAGAACGAGCATTCGTTTACTGTTGGTGAATCATTGTGTCGTGCTACGATTGTTCAGCTTAAGTAGACAGTGGGTGCAGTCCACTTATTTGTGGATTTGTCTGCATGTCTTGACGCTAGCATTTCAAAATCCACAAATGCTTGCGGGGATCAACAAATACACAAGAAGCGATTCACAAATGTGTGCAGCCATCCACAAATGCACAGAAAGTCATTCACAAATGAATGCCAGGCAGATTTGTGTTTGTAACAAACACATTTGTAAGTATATTTTATTTGCAAATCTCATTTTATTTATTTGTGATTTTTTTTTTTTTTGTGAAACGCTTTACATTTATTTGTGGATCTTATTTATTTGTGAACTTTATACATTTTTGTGAATCTCTTTACATTTATTTGTGAATCTCAATCTATTTATTTGGAATAATGTAACAATTATAACCTCAAAATACCAGAATGTGTGTTGAGTTAAATCAGCCCTAAATCTATCTATCATATCTCTGGAAGATTGACAAATTCAGTTGCTTAGAATGGATTTCTGTGTACTGTAGTCCAATGAGAGGCTTATGATAAGTGATAGAGAATTAAAACATACAATATTGACTTTTAAAGCCACTTTTTGTGATGTATATTCAATGGCTCCATGCATCTGCAACAATAATGAAAGGTCTTTGAATTGTTTCTTTTTGAATGGTTGCAAATATTTATGTGATTAATTTCAAATAATTAATCTGCATAACATGTCATTAATCAGATTAAAAATTAATTGATTGACTGATTGTTATCCCTAAAGACCAAAAAACAAAACAAAAAAAAAGAAACATTACTGGTTCTCACACATCAAGTAGTGGCAGAACTAGAGTTTTATACAAGGGGTGACCAAGTTCAGGGGGTCCATTGACCATGACAGAAAATTAGTGTGTAACCCTAACCTGGCATCTAAGGAACATGAATTACTCCTATGATTGCTGATTAAAGTGATCATTGACTTAACCCAGAGATCTTCAGTGTGCAAGAAAAAGGTACTTAAAAAAAAAAAAAAACTTTTTCAAACAAACACTCACACTAATGTACTCCCATATTTGAGAGACTTTGGTCGCTATATTTTCAGAAAATAATGCTCAAGCACAAAAGAGAAGATAGCATTTGTTTGACCAAAATTGCATAGTTTACTTGCAAAAAAGTACATTTACTAAAAAAACAAACATAATGGATATAAAACCATATATCAGGCAGAAATGGAATTAAGTAAAAGTATTCAGTTTAAATTGAACTTGAGTAAAGTATTAATACCCACAAAAGTAAAATTCAAGTATTTTACACCCCTTACTCCAAAAATCTATATAAAAGGTGCTTTGGATTTTTTATAGTTGGGTCATGGCTTACTAACAAAATTACCCAGGAGTTAGTCATTGATTATCTCATTTGGGAACTTAGCCCTTAATCATTCTTATAAGCAAGCAAAAAAATACTAATAATAGAGGAAATCGCATTGATGCATTCAAAAACAAAATTGTTCATTTGTAATACCTGTAGTAATATTTGGGAGCCTGGTGTATGTTAACAACAGCCAACATTTTGTGTTGTCACAATATAGGCCTACTTGTGTTTTTATATCTTAAAGTATATATTTTTGTTGTATAATTTAGGTTGGTGGTTTGATGCCTGTGGACCATCCAATCTCAATGGCGTATACTACCAGCAAGGACAGAACACTAATCGTTTCAATGGCATCAAATGGTACTACTGGAAAGGTTCAGCATATTCACTAAAGGCCACGACTATGATGATAAGACCGTCAAACTTCTAAGCTTCTAGTCCTAAGCCACAATAGCCGCTTTTCCACTGTCGGGCCAGTGCGAGCCAGGGCAACGGGCTGTGCTGGGATAATAGCCTCGGACCTGTAGCACAGAGCTCAAAACCACACTGCGTTTCCACCGTCGGGTCAGAAGCTCCGCATAGTTTCATCACATTTAGAAAGAATGATAATTTCTACAAATTTTCCACCAAAGAAAAAAACCAACCTGAGGAGCACTCTCTCCAGTGACAGTCCCAATAGAGTTATATTTTCAGCCAGAGAAGGAGAAGCCCAGACGAGGCCCGATCAAGCCCCGGAAGTGACAGTGGAAACGCAACTGGCTGCAATAGCACTCTGCTTTTGGCCCGACAGTGGAGAAACGGCTAATGACTACGTCACTGCTTTCCTATCCTATAGAGAAACATTTGTTGGAGAGGTGTGACCTTCATGCACTTCTGATACAGGACTTCTATTTAAAAGATAAAGCACTTGGAAAAAAAAACTTTGTTAGTGTCAAATTGCTAATTCATTGAACATGAAATCCTGACATACAACATATTAATGGAACTTCGTCAAGGGAAAAGTTTTGTTCAAATGGATGTATTAATATGTATTGTTAATTGAAGAACAGCTGTAAAGGGGATATACACCTGTACACTGAAGTACCTTGATGCTTCACAGGATTTCCTTAATTCTTCATGTAGATAAGTGGAATCAGAACTACTTTCTTAGTGTGCTTATTTTATTTGTAAATACCAAATTATTTACAAAAATTTTATTATATTATTGATAAATTGTCAAATGTAACCATGGTACAAGAGTGAGTTAAATGCATAAAGCATGAGGAGGTTCTTTAAACATGTCGTACAAATTGTTACTCTATAAAACTGTTGTTTACACATGGTTTAGTGCTTTGAACCTTCTTGTAGATATCTTAACTGTGGACATTTGTTGACAGTTGACCAAACTCTGCAGCATTTCTTAAAGGGTCCCTTTTTTGCAAAATGCTAAATTCACTTTTACATGGTTTTTTGAAAAAAAATTTTGTCCACAGTGTGGATAACCAACCTATAATGGAAAAAATCCACCCACTCCTTTTTGTATTCCCTAAAAATAAAATTAAAAATTGTCTCAAAATGATTTGTTCATGTTTTCTACCCATTGTGACATCGCAATGGAACAGGCCCCTCCCATGACTGGTGACGGACTTTTCCCTATTAGCATAGATCCTCCCCTGAGTGAACTGCACACTCACTACACTTGAACTTGACGCACAACGTAATGATGGCAATTGACGCCTCTTGCGGTTCAAACAAACAGGGCTGGGTAACCGCGTTCGTCATTACGTTGTGCGTCAAGTTCAAGGGTTACTCTTTTGGCGTAAATCGATGCGTACGGCCGTCTGCCGGAAGCTAGTTATTTTAGTCGATAAAGTTTTAAATATGGATATTTTTCTAACACGAACGCATCGCTTCAGTTCAGAAGGCCTTTATTAACCCCCGGAGTGTGTGTGGAGCACTTTAATCATGAATAGATGCACTTTGATGGACTTCCAAAGACATACACCCATTCACTCCCATTATAAAGCTTGGAAGAGCCGGGCCATTTTTTAATAGAACTCCGAAATGTATTCGTCTGAAAGAAGAATCACATACACCTAGGATGGCTTCAGGGTGGGTAAATCATGGGCTAATTTTCATTTTTGGGTGAACTATCCCTTTAATTGTGAAGAAAATAAACTTAAATATACAATGCACTTATAGATATTGTAACATTTAAACAGGTTTATAAGAAAATAATAATTGCCAGATTATCCTAATGTTACGTCTGACCATTCCTGTACTAATCTCTTTAAGTCGACAGGTTTATCTATTAATGCACATTATACCAATCTGCACACTAACATGCAAATAAAAATGAAATGTACTGTCTATAAAAAGGTGTAACATAAATCAATGTGTTAACATTAACACACGTTACTGACACAAGCAAAAAAGCATTTGCAAGTTATTCAGTTGAAAGATGTCATACAGCTCTTACAGTAAAACATGTTTCAATGTTTCATATAAACTCAAAAACAGTGCCAGCCCTACTTAATAGGCAACCTATGCGGTTCCAGGGGGCCCCATATCAGGGGTTCAGACTAATGCTTGGGAATAATAACTTAAATTTGCTTGTGTCAGTAACGTGTGTTAATGTTCACATAGATTTATGTTACACCTTTTTATATACAGTACATTTCTTTTTTATATACAGTACATTTATGTAATAATTACAAAGCATGTCCATTTTACACTAAGCAACAAATATTATCCAACAGTGTGACTGGAATAGCAACAAAGAAACAGCAGCTCTGGAAATTTTTTTTTTTTGGGTTCGCTATCCCGAAAGAGTTTTTAAACCATGGTAGTAAGGATCCCAAGATCTCAGTGGAATTTAATAAGGTTGACATTATTCATGGCAACAAAGTGTGTGAAGTGTCTACATGAGTGGGAAGTCCATTTCATTTTGCTTTGGGAATAAAAGTAGCCGGCCTTGTAAAACGAAGTAAATCATCTGACCAAGCAAAGCATTTAAACTTTTGAAAACACTGAATGGGACACCTTTGCACAAGGAGCTAACCTAGAGGAATATGCCTCGACAGTCCTGTCATACATAACATTTTGCACTGATAATGTGACTACAAGAAGAAACATCAAAGTGTTTTCTAATCAGAAGCCTTGGTTTAATAGTGAGGTTAAAACTCTTATAAAGGCTCGGGATACTGCTTTTAAATCTGGGGACATAGAGGCATACAGAAATGCACAAGGAAAACTGAGGAAGGGCATCAAGGACGCAAAGCACCACTATAAACACCGTATCATTTCAACAAAAATGACTCCCGCAGCATGTGGAAAGGAATCAAGGCAATCACTGATTACAAGAGTGGTAACAGCCAGATGCCCAACAATGATACTGCTTTCCCTAATGTCCTAAACCATTTCTTTGCTCGTTTCGATGACGGAAACAACAGCCCTACCACCTTTACTGCACCGCTGCAGACAGGGCAAGCACTCATTCTGCACCCACATCAAGCGAGGTCCACTGACTAAAACTGACATCAAGAAAGCAGCTGAAGCTGAACCAGATGGAGTGCAGGGAAGGATTTAAAAAAAAGTGTGCTGAAACAGCTAGCACGTTTTCACCGAAATATTCAATAACTCACTTCGACAGGCTATAGTCCCCACTTGTTTCAAATCAACTCCTATTATCCCTGTGCCAAAGAAATCTACAGCAAAATGCTTGAATGACCGATTGCTTTGACACCTATTATTATGAAGTGTTTTGAAAGGCTGATACTGAATCATTTTTGCAAGGAGAAAAAACAGGCTAATAGATATTAAGAATACTTTTTAATGAAATACAGGTATTACCGGTACTAGTGAAACTAGTCAAAATTTATGGTTATAGAGCCACTTAGTGGTCAAGAGCAGAAATGCATTGGCTGCCACAACCAACAATACCCGAGGCAGCAAAAAATATATTCTAGTTGAGTGCCATCTGTACTTCATAATTTGTAATGTATTACATAAAATGCAGCAGTGGCTAATTATGTTGCATACACATGACTGCAAGTGTGCTATATATAACAGAGAAAAAAAAAAGGATTATATAGATAACAAGTCATTATTTTCTTTTGTTGTTGTAAATTAATCACAAAATGCTAAACTGTGCGTAATGTAAACCACTAGGAGACCACAGATCGATGTCATTAGCTGTACTGCGTTAATATCAAAATACACACGATTACATTTTGAAGAACAGACGGAAGAAAATCTGTCGATTGGCATCTCATTCGTTGTATTTTGTATGTTTAGATGTTCAACCGCAGTCATGAGCACAAGCACTTCTCACAATGCCCATGCAAAAAGTTTTCAATCATTCTTTTCAGCATCAGTGGTCTGAAAACAGTTTATGCGAGCACTGCAAATGTTCTCATCAGGACCATCAGGAGGTGCTCCGAGTTTAGTTCGCTTTATGTCCACAGAGTTTTTTTTATACGCATTGTGAACGCAAAACACTGCAGGTTCACTTCATATCTAATTTCTTCTAATATTCCAAATGTAGCTGTATTTACTACAATACACATTGCAAAAAATCTCACTATGTAATATAATTTGTATATTTTAAAAAAGTACAACAAGATTTGAAACACCATCTCTCCTGCGTGGTCATAATTGGGACAACACATCCCTATTGTAAATTACTGATGATCCAAAACCAGTCATATGTGAAGAGAATATCGTTAATCTTCTCCTAACAAGGCCATTTATTAAAATCTGGGTAGATTAGACGGTACTCAAACAATGAGCTCTCGTAATCAATGTGTTGGATGCAGAAGAAATGGCCATGAATAAAGATCTGAGGCTATGTTCAAACTGCAGGCAAAATCAGATTTTCAAAATCATAAATTCATGGCCATTTTTTTTTTTAAGTTTATGATTTTTGTTTGTTGTGCATTTGTGTTTAGGAAGCAAGAGGTAGTCTTCCAGCTGGTCAGAAATCTGGGTGGTTTTACAGTGGTCGATAATGTGTGTGAAAGCACCACTCATGTGGTGTCCGGCAGCCCACGGCGGACGCTTAATATCCTGTTAGGCATTGCACGTGGCTGCTGGATCCTCTCCTTTGAGTGGGTGTGTATAGTGCTTATTGCTTTGTGTGTATTTTTTCGTAAATGTGATAAACATCATTCATCATTCATTAATAAATTGAAGTGTACTTGTGTACTTACAGGCGCAGCTGGAAACTGATCGGATAGCTCATACGGTTCTTCAGGAACCCACTGCCTGTGCTCCAAACACCATAGGATCTGCACAGATAAGAAAAAAAAAGATACAATAGTATATTAACTACCACCCAAATCTTTACAGAATGATGTTTATCACATTTACGAAAAAATTAAATAAAGCACAAAGCAATAAGCACTATACACACCCACTCAAAGGAGAGGATCCAGCAGCCACGTGCAATGCCTAACAGGATATTAAGCGTCCGCCGTGGGCTGCCGGACACCACATGAGTGGTGCTTTCACACACATTATCGACCACTGTAAAACCACCCAGATTTCTGACCAGCTGGAAGACTACCTCTTGCTTCCTAAACACAAATGCACAACAAACAAAAATCATAAACTTCAGGGTTTCTGCAGGTCTCAATTCACTATTACACAAATTAAGGCCTTAAACCAGAGCAGAAAGTCTTAAAGTCATGGCATGAGTGTTGCATGGACTGCAAAAGAATATTTTTTGTCCCATTTCCAATACAAATATCTAAACATCTTTGTATATATATATATATATATATATAGAGAGAGAGAGCAAGAGTAAGATTTGAAGAAAGACTGTAGAAAGAGAGAGGACTGGGACATTACAAAAGAGAAAAGGTCAGAGGAAAATCACTGGAAAAAGGGGTATGATCAGGCAAGAGCTTTACAGAGACATCCACTCGTGCATTGTGTGCGTGTGCATTTGGAGGCGGAAAAATTAAGAAAGGGGTTTGTTTAGCTTGATTCAAATATCAACAGTGTTTCTCATAAATCGCTTACTGCAGCTTTAAGAATCTTTAGACATTTGCATTGGAAAACAAGACAAAAATACTGAGAACACATCAATTTTTTGCAGAGGGTGGAGTAAAAGATATTTCCATATTCTAGTGGTTGGGAGCAAAGCGATTAAAGCTACTTTTTAATTAAAGTAATGAATATCTGTTGAAACTGTAATTTCAAACTCTAAAGTGTATCTAACACATTTCCGTTATGACTTATGATAGTTTGTTGGTCCGTTGGGTTCAATTGCTTTCTCACCTCAACCGAACTGCTCCAGAGTTTGTTTTTAATTGGGCCGAGACAACCACGTTCAGTCGATCTCGGAGCGATTGTTTTGGAGCGGATCCGAGCGCAATTGCCATGATCATATTTGCCTAAACGAACCGAACTAAGGGAGAACACCAACAAACACTCAAAATGAGCCAGGTGTGAAAACGCCCTTCGAGAACATATTGTTGTATTGTTTTCACTTCAATTTATTCCTTACATTTTCTTCACTTGGTCTTGAAAAGGTCTTTAAAAAGTCTTAAATTTACCTTCACAAAACCTATTCATGTTTGTCCAGTTTATTTTCAGTTTTATGCTGGTTTATGACCACAACTTTATCTAAAAATCTACATTCCCACATTTTCAGCACAAATAACTTTATTTTGATGTATTCCATTTTTCTGATATCATTTCTCATCCTATAATATACAGAATTTGGTCATAACCTTACTTTAGAACAGAGTTCTGGATGTGGGCAGTAGGCCTGTCAAGATAATATATTGACTCATCGCAATATATATGGACATGACCTCGATCATTTTGGTGATGTGATCTATTGCCCATTATAAATAAATGTCACCAACATTTTGCCGATCGCACTTCCTCTGTCATCTTATCTGCTCTCCATGTTGGAGACTCAAGCAGCTCCTTTATACACAGAGTGGACATCGAAAGGTGAAAAGAAGGTATAGTGCTATAGTGTTTTCCTGACAACTACAGAGTACAGACAGTTTGGAAGAATAAGTCCAAATGCAGTATCAAAGTCGCAATCCACTGTTCCTGTGCAAATATAAACATGACAGCGTGAAATGGTGCATGCTCGGAGCTAGCATTAAAGGCCCTGTAATGTGTTGATGTCATTTCCACTGAAACAGGAAGACAGGGCGCAACATATCGAGCAGCTCCTCCCCCTTTTTAAAATAGCCAATAGCGCTTTGTTTATATCACAGCTCGGCCAGAGCCGTTGAGCTTGACAAAGCAGCATTTGACAGCCAGAGTCTAATAGATTCCCCTTTTTATATTTAATATGAAACTGTGGTAACACTTTACAATACGGGTGCACTAATATGCATTAATTCATGTTTAACCAATGCACAGATAATCATGAGTTAATGTATAACTCATGAAGAACTCAACCATTAATTAATGATTACTGCATCAGCAAGCAACTAATAAAGAGTCTATATGATTAATAGATTAAGTAATAAATGAATTGCTATTAATTAAACGTGTCATCATGTATTAATTCCTTAATAACATATTTTATTAACTAATAGTGTAAATGAATGTGTTAATTACCACAATTAGTCAACACTATGCACTTCAACTTCCAGTTGTCTGCTTTAATTAATCATTAGCTAATGATTTGCAAAGGTATCATGACTTTACTTGTTGAGGCACATGACTGTTAAAGCTGCCGTCGGCAACATTTTTTTGATCATATTCAGTGAAATCGACACCATAATCCGACAGAACAACATAAATAAAGTGGTTTTAGAAAAAAACCCGAGCTTCTAACTCCACCTGGAGCGTGTTATTTGTTTTGCAAAAATCCACAGCTCCCGGTTCATCGGGTCCAATCAGCGCAGGGGGGTGTGAGATCTGACTGTCAATCACAGATCGGGCACACGCCACCCCTCACGCACGTTACAATCACATGCACACGCCTGAAGTTCGCGCAGTAACGAAGAGTGATGGCGGAAAATCAAGTAAGCTCATTTAGAGTATGACTTTAGCAATTGCAATCTATTGGTAGATTAGCCAGGACAGCATACCTCCAAATAATCCATGGTGTTGATGGATGCTGATGAGACGGGCGGGTTCACTGAAAATCTGGTGCACACGCACTGACGAGCATGAACTCGGTCACGGTGGGAGGGTATTAGTTGATAGTGGGGGAGGGCCATGAGAGTTGTAAACATTCAAAATTGTGTAAGTCCACTCAATCTGCCAGACTTGCCGACTTCAGCTTTAACTAATTGTTAAGTAATATGTCATTATGGTTATGGGTTTTGTCAGCTACACTAAAGGTCTGTGGGGCAGTTGCACATGCAGTGAGTGTAATGTCAGAGAGTGTTTGAAGGATGGGTAAGTTGGGCCGCACACAAATATCAGCACACCAGAATCTGAAATACTGACACTGTTATACTGCGTTTAAACTGGACGAGACCATAACACCTGTCTACACTGGACATGACAGACCATTGCAAGTCCATTTGTCCTTCATAACAGAAGTAGCGCAAGAGCTCGGAGTACGTCAGAAATAGAGTGAGGCATCAGTTTACTGTCAGGGTTTTGTTGTGTCGTGTAGCTGTGTTGCATCCAGTGTTGTATCACTGATTATAATGGGTTCTAGTTTCTTTGTCCGGTCTAGACACAGTGTTATGAAATAGCAGAGCCCGGCCGCATATTCTCATTGTTCTTCCTTTAAATCCTAGAGCTCAAGCTTAACCTGACACACTCCTGTGCCATGAACTGTTGGATGCGGCGGTTCATCTGGCACAGTGGAATCCCGGTTGTAGAAGGCGGGACATTGAAATCCATAGTGTGGATGTCAAAACCAAAATTACATATTACTTAACAATTAGTTAATAGTCATGTGTCTCAACAAGTAAAGTCATAACAAGTCATAACATAATGATACCGTTGCAAATCATTAGCTAATGATTAATTAAAGCAGACAACTGGAAGTTGATGTGCATAGCTTTGACTAATTGTGGTAATTAACACATTAATTTACACTAGAGCCCGACCGATATATCGGCGGGCCGATATTAGGCATTTTCCTAACTATCGGTATCAGCATTTATAATGGCCGATAAATGAATATTTAAAAAAAATGCGGGTGCGGTGATTCATGTAAGGGTGGCGATGCCAATAAAGCACATAAAAGCTGTCACAAAGAACTAGCAAAAGTAATGATTGTGAATACATCAAATATAGCAAGGAGACATTTTAATTGTTTATTAATAAACAAGTGTTTTCAGTTAGTTTCGCTGCAAAGTTGACGACGCTGACTCGCGATCTTCAGTGAACACGCCAGAGAGAAATGCACATTTCATACGGATTACAGCAGAGAGCAGTCTGTCTTTCGTTTTGAATTGTTCTGTTTAAAAGTAGACATTTCAATATAGATATATATTTCTCAGGTCTATATACGCTGAGTTTCGGTTCATTTATGAGACGAGATGCAGTTCACGCGCCGGCGCCTCCGTGTCGAGATTATCTATTGTCTGCTATATTTACTTATTTATTAAATCCAGGCAATTGGTTGATGAAAAATTGATTAAAATTAAGATACAATTAACACAAAACGAAATTCACTTTAATGAAAGGCGTTGTGCTTTCTGTTTGATGTCTCTGTGAAAGTTTTAAAGTCTTTTAGTGCCGCTTTCAGAGCTTGTCACATCCGTTGTTTTTTCCTCATAAATGCGAACACGAAAAATAAAATAAAATGAATATTTGATGTTCTGTTGAGAGCCAACCCTTCTTCATCCGGTGGGTAGTAGCCTATTACTTTTGATTTGCGCAGTGTAATTCATAGAATTGATTTATCTGCTACCAGCCTCTGTCACGTAGGCTATTGTGTGAGCTTGTGATGACTGGGGAAAGCGCGCAGCTGAGAAGTCCTGATTATATTGTCTGCTATATTTACTTCTTATTTATTAAATCCAGGCAATTGGTTGATGAAACATTGATTAAAATGCATTGCGCGAGTGACAAATCTCCTACAGTAAACTGATGCCCCATTCTGCTTTGTAAGGGGCGCTTTTTCGCGTCTAGAGTAAACAGCTGTTGCGACGCGAGCAATAACGGCCTCCGGTGTAGACAGTGCTGAAGCTCATTCTGCCTATAACGCTACGCTACAACATCAAGCAATATTCCAATAATTTATATAATTATAACACTATGTTTCACGTTTAGTACATTTTGCTTACTACTTATTTAAAAATAGTATAAAAGTACTGTACATATGTAATTAAAAACGTTTTCATTATGATATTAATCATTTTACTTTAGTAAAAAGATCTGAGTTCTTCCTCCACTGGTAGAGATTAGAGGAATTAAGACTAAAAATAGAAGATAATATTTTACATTAAATTAATACATGATTAACTAACTGTATTTTTTCTATGTATATTTCTGAAATGCACTTTCTGTAAAGCTGCTTTGAAACAATATGTATTGTGAAAAGCGCTATACAAATACATTTGAATTGAATTATAATGTTTTGTCAGTGACACTTTTGATATATTTATTGATACAAGTTATGTTTTATATAGCC